AGTTGCTTTAATTTTGGAAGTGGGTGGGGTGTCAGCTTCACTCAGCTAGGTGACAGAGCGTTTGCTGTTGTTGCTCCCAGGTTATAGAACAATTTACTCTTGAGTGTCAGACAGGCCTCCTCTCTTCCTGTTTTTAAATCTCTTTTAAAAACACACTTTTATTATTTGGCTTTTAACACTTGATCTTATCTTTTTTTTTCTTTTTTCTTCTTCTTCTTTCGGCTACTCCCTTCTTCAGGGGTCGCCACAGCGAACTAAGTCGCACGAAGACTTGGCAGTTATTTTTATGCCGGATGCCCTTCCTGATGCAACCACAGACCACCGAGATACCACAGCCCTCTGTGTGGAGCAGAGAGCTGCTATCTAGGACACCAGGAGGAGCAGATGGTGGGGGTTAAGGGCCTTGCTCAAGGGTCCAGAGTGGGACGAATGAGGGTGGGGGCAGGTGTGGGTGCTTCACCTACCCCACCTACATTTTTAATGTTGTCAGTACCGGGGCTTGAACCGGCAATCTTCTGATCACAGGCCCACCTTCTCTAACCTCTGTGCCACCACTAGGTGACCTTATCTTGTATGGCACCTTAATACACACCTTCTATGAACCTAGTATGTGTATGTTTTTATGTTTCTTTGTGTATGCTTTGTATGTTTTTATTGTCTTTATCTATTTTTTTGTCTTATTGTACAGCACTTTGGCTACCCCTGTAGTTTTTTTAAATGTGCTATAAAAATAAAGCTGATTGATTGATTGATTGATTGATTGATTGATTGATCGATCGATCGACTCCCCTGGGAGGAGGGAGCTTTTTGACATGATGGTGAAGGAGCTACAAATACTGGACATGCTGTGCCGGTCTTCCCACACAGTCTGAGGAGCTGGAGAACATTTTGCAAGGGGAGTGGCTGTTGAGCTCACGCTCAGCGATGAAGCAGCTGCGCTTTTGCCCCTGTGTCTTCAAAGGGTTCTGGAGGACACTTCTCACCTTCCCTCATCAGCCGAGTCTCCAGAGCGCTCCAGGTCCACAGAGAATTCCAAGTCTCCAGAGAGCTCCAGGCCTACAGAGAGCTCCAGGTCCACAGAGGGCTCCAGGTCCACAGAAAGCTCCAGGTCTATGAAGGGCTCCATGTCTCTAGAGGTTCCCAAGTCTCCAGAGTTTCCCAAATCTTCAGAGTTTCCCAAGTCTCCTACGGGCCTCAAGTCTCCTACGGGCCCCAAATCTCTTGCAAGCCCCAAGTCTTCTTCACCAGAGGTCTTCACACCTTCTTCACCAGAGGCCCTCGTGCCTTCTTCACCGAGGCCCTCATGCCTTCTTCACCAGAGGTACTCATGCCTTCTTCACCAAAGGTCCTCACACTTTCTTCACTAGAGGGTCTCATGCCTTCTTCATCAGAGTTTCTCACATCTTCTCCTGAGGTCCCCGAGTCTCCTGAGATCCCTGAGTCACCAGAAGATCCTGAGTCTCTAGACGGTTCCATGCCTCCTGAAGGTTTCATGCCTCCTGAGGGTTCCACACCTCCAAGAGAGGGTTCCACACCTCCAAGAGAGTGTTCCACACTATCAGAAGTGTCTACACCTGCTGCAACCACCGAGGTCTTCTCGACAGCCATGTCTACATAAGTTTCCACGTCTACAGAGATTTCCACATCTACAGAGATCTCCACGTCTACAGAGATCTCCATGTCTACAGAGGTCTCCACAGCTATAGAGGTCTCCATGTCTACAGAGGTCTCCATGCCTACAGAGGTCTCCATGCCTACAGAGGTCTCCATGAACCCCAAGGGTTCCGTGTCACCTCCTGAAGTAGCTGTGCCCCTTTATGTGGTTCCTGATGTGGCTACGCCCCCTGCTGCAGTTCATGATACAGCTACACCCTCTCCTGCAGTCCTTGAGGTAGCCACTACAGCCTACATGACAGCTGCAGCATTCAAGGTCTTCAAGTCAGATGCAGTCTCCACAGTCTCCACAACAGCGGCAGCCTTCACTGCCCCCACAACAGCTACAGTCTTGACAGTTCCCATGACAGCTGCAGCCTTTGTGGTCCCCATGACAGCTGCAGCCTCCACAGTCTCCAAGACTGCTGCAGCCTCCACAGTTCCCATGCCAGCTGCAGCTTCCACGATCCCCACAACAGCTGCAGCCTCCACCATTTCCAAGATAGCTACAGTACTCACGGTCCCCATAACAACTGCAGCCTCCACGGTCTCCAAGAGAGCTGCAGCCTCCATAGTCTCCACAACAACTTCAGTCCTTCTCCCCAGCAATGGATGGTTGCCTGGACACCTATCTGAACTTTGTCTTTGCGATGGGCAGTCTCCCGGCCATCCTCCCCCCCCCCCCCACACACACACACATGCTGGGAGTTCTCGTGCCTACCCACACAAACTCTTTTGTGTTTGCCCCTTGCGTGTCTAGTCCCCTGGTGTAACCTGTCAGGTTTTTGGTTTCTCCCTCATGTTTTTCCATTGTGCCTTTTGTCTTGTTGGTTCCTCCCACCCAAATTTGGGATGGTGGTCTTGGGATATCAGGTGACATTCTTGAGGGGGTACCGTAGGGGTTGTCTTACCTGGTGTCTAGCTCCCTCTTGTGGTGTGTCTTAGTTTCTATTCTCCTGCTGTCTCCTTATAATTAATTACACCTCTGCCACCTGCTTGTCGGTGGGTCATCTCACAGAAAATTTTGAATAACAGAAATGCCATTTCCTGCATTCGGGTGTATTTTAACAGGTTGTCATACATCTACATTTACCTACATTTGTAAAAGCTTAATAAAATTACTATTTTGGAGAAGAACAGCAGGTTGTGTGCAGCAGCTCTGATTCTGTCAGGTGTCCTAAAGCCCCCCTTTCCCCTCCGCATACTTCATGGTTTTGAGCTGAACCCTTCTCCGCTGAATTTTTTGCTCCTGCTCCAGTCTCTGTCAGGATTTGTTGGTCAGGAACGAACCCAGTAGTGCAGACAGGAC